TACATTTTTTATCCGAATTTTATATTATTGATGGGGAAAGGGTGACCCCTAAATTGAAACCTTTATTAAAATACATACAAACATATTAAAATATACATTAAAATTAACACATTGTATATTATTTTATACATGATAAATTGTTTAGTTAACATTACCAATACTTGTGCGGACATGGTCTGTAACGGCTTCATTATTGTTATTATAATTAATCCAATGGAATTCTGAAATTAGTTGGTAGTTTTAATTTAAAATTTTTAGGACATTTAAAATTGATTTAGCATAGTAATTAAATGATTTTTATTGATATTAATTCAATTTCACTCACTGTAAACTCTTTAGGTACTTACTTTCTTAAAAATTCAATATTTTTAATTAGTTTTATCTATTCATTTTTGGGCTAATTAAAGTACTCTTCAAAATAAGTTTTTGAAACTAATTTCTAAACTGTTTTCAAACCCTGTTCAAAGATTCAAAAGAAACAATACTAACAATATAATGAGAACCATTTTTGTTTTTGATTTTTGAGTTCATGGATTTTCTGTACTAGGTAATTGTAGGTGTCATTTTGTGTTTGCTATCTAAAATTGTATTGTAGGCACTTAACATATAAATTCTATTCTACAATTTGTGTATAGGTAGGTACCTACATTTTTATTTTTATTTAATTTTTTCAATTATATAGGTACTTATTTAATATTTGTTAATGTTAAACTGTTTACATAAAAATAATATATAACATGTTCCTATGTAGGTACCTACTTTTATTAATTTTTTTATTATTTTAACAATGTTAGTAAAACTTAGATAATTTTGCCACATATTATCTATTTACATAACTTCTGGTATTTTTTTTTTGAGATTTAAAAAAAAGATGACAATTAGATTAACGGATGTATATATAATGTATTGCATATTCTCAAGTTAAAGTCTTTGTTGTCATAAATTGTTGCACCGAGATGAAACGTAAACACTATTCAATAGGTACCTAAAGGAAGGGACTCATAAAATAAATTGTTTTCATAATCCAAATGTTAGTGCACAATATAGCACAATTAACTTGACTATTTTAAAGTAAAGATATATTCCAAATTATCCTCTTATTTTTTTTTGAGAAACTTAGAAAAATATGCACTGTAAACCGCAGAGGTATTGACAATATTTTGATTTCCATGTCCATATAAAACACGAAATCTTAGGTACAATAATTTCGAACTGTATTTACGTTTTTATATTTTACACTTTTCACTATTAATGCTAATAAGTAATAGCATTTTGATTAAATTGCACTTATTTTTGGAAATAATCGAATTATTACTATAATTTTTAACTGTATTTTCTTGCGAAATTGTATTAAATTTAATTTTAAAAAAAGCTCAATATTTGTGCACTTATACTCGTGCCTGAAAGGCCATTATTATCACTTTATAGAAACATTCAAAATAAGATTTATATTAGTATTTTATTTAAAATAAAATTTAGTTAAATCAGTTTTATAAAGGTACGTAGTTATAATTTATTTCACTTTCATTGCAAAATAAAAACTATTCATTCATAATTTGCAGGAATAATTTACTAGTTAATAATATAATCATAATATCAATTTAGCTAAAACAAAATCTAATTAAAAGTGTGGATTCTACAATAATCCATCAAAAATAATTTATTTTTGATGTAAATATGTGCCTCGGCGTCGAGGTCATAAGGCATCTGACATTTTACATAACAAAATTTTATAGAACATAAAGTTTACTAGTTAGGTTAGTTTTATTAGTTTAACATTTTTGAATTGTATATGGAGGATATATAATTCAAATAATATGTTAGGTTAAATACATTCAAATCCGCTGTATTGTATTTGAATTTGTTGTGACTTTACCAACACGATGAATAGAACCGCGTGTTTTCGTATTCTCATAAAATATATAATATTAAAGATTTATTGTTGAGATATTTTAAATTTGAACAAAGCGGCCTAATGGTTGTGTTAATATGTGCCAGATGGTAAGTCTACTGTGTGAATATTCATCCAGGTGGACCAAGATTTACCTGCCTCCTAGGGTGTATGAAGCAACCCTTGTGTGCCTATTCACTTTTTTTTAACAAGACATTCTCCATTTATTATATTTTACACACGCAGTAAAATCTGATTATTTTTTATTCATTCAACTCTACCCTCTTTTTGGAAGTTGTGTCTGCATTCTGAAGGTTATTTATTTCCGACAAATTATTTAAAAAAAAAAATATTTTTTGTAACCATTAGTTGGCGACAGATAGATAAAAATAACACGTGTTTATTATCAAAAAATATTACGTAAATACAATAATTATTTTAATAAGTATTTTATAAACTCAATAAATGTATTACCATATACATTTATTATACAATATGCATATTGTAATAAAACATATTTTAGCTTACTATTGTCTATACAACTCCTAGTAATGATTTTGATTATTCTCATTTAGTTTAAATTTAAATTTAGGTATAGAATAAACATGTGTTTTATTTATTATTCTCTCGGAACGTTATAAAAATACATTTTGACTTCAGAATATTAAAAAAAAATATATTTTTAATAATACTCAATAACAATTACCATAAAAACGTTGTCATTACACGGTTCAATAGTACTTAACATTGTTATAATAAAAACAAAAATAATTTTCTATATATAAGATCTGTATAAGATAATTGTCTATATAAATAGGTATATAACATAAAATGTATTATTATGTTTTTTTTATTAACTAAATGAAACAATATTAAAAACTAAAAATAAACTGTAATTTTACTGTAAATTGTATTATGTATGCTAAGTATTCGCTGTGTATTGAATATTGTGCAAAATATATTTAATTTCGGTATTGTTTTGGACATTCGAAATTTTTATAATACTGTTCCGTAGCCCTAATTGAAAATGTTATCATCACGTTTTTATATTTTTACTAATTAAATATAGGTACGTTAGTATATACTACCATTGAAATAAACAATCGAATTTTTTCTCAAAATATATCACAAATTTAGACTAGAAATGGACTAATCGATTTTATGTTTTATGTTTTTACTAAGTACCTATGATAATATAATTGACATAAATTATTTTGAACATAATTTTACATAAGTACTTAAACTTTACTTTCCTGCGGGTTTTAAATATTTATAAACCATCTGTAATATTTACGGTATAAATTCAAGTCAATAAAAAAGTATCATATTTAAAAAATCCAATGACTCGGAACCTGGTGGCATTATAATCGCTTGTCTTTCTTCCATTGCCTAAGCTCAGGATAGATAAGTCATATTCATATCTACTTTTTATTAATTCAATATAGGTGTGTTGTGTGTACTAGGATTTAAACAATTTAAATAAACAAGAAATGGACAAATCTATTTCATGTTCTTAATTTTTACTAAATACCTATGATACTATAATTGATAACGTATTATTAAAATAAATACGATAGTAAGATGTGGTGCGATTATGTAAATTATTTGATGTGATTTTATTGTATTATTCATTTTTGATACGTCAATAATATATCATTATTTTATTATACTATTAGTATATTTGATTACAAATGTAATATTATATTTGTAAAAACAAATCGATTTATTTGTTCCTTAACGTTTATCACTGCATTTTTTTTAATATTGGAACAATTATAGCCTAGCTGTAGTAAATATATGATGTGAAAATATTTTCTCTATTAATTCTTAAGTTTTGCTTACATACTGTTATAGTTAGTGTAAATTTGTTTTCATAAAATACCTGAAATATGTCTTATGTCGTAATTATCTTCATATATTTATAAAACAAAATCTTTATTATATCAAATTTAAACTATTAAAAAAAAATCAAAAATATTCAGGTACTTTATCACACTTCGAAATATGCATATATGTATGCAAAATTAAAATGAGAATTAATTGTTTGCATTAAAATCTACCTATTCTATCAAACATTTTGTATCCCGGTGATGCGTGCGTTTATTTATAAATCCATACCTCCTCAAATGAATTGTTTTACTATTTCATAACAAAAAAAAAATCGATTTCATGGTAGGTAGATATACAAAATATGATTTGTTAAGTATCTTTTGAATAAATATATCGATTTAAACAGCCATTGCAACTAACACTTTAATAGGCTCAATTAGTATACTACACTAAGAGAGTAGGTTACTTACCTTTATGATGATTGAAACATTAAATGTGAATGAAGACTCGATTATAATTTACTTCTAAAATCGAATCCAAGTTTTTTTTTTAAAATCTTTTTTAATTTGTTTAATTTTTGTTTCTTCGTCCCTCCCTCGGTCCGATCGAATATAAAATACGACGTGGTAGATTACCAACAATCACACGATGTGGAACAATAAAATTCATATCATGTATTTAATACAATATAAAAAGTACCCAATATATATGTATACTTTTATTCTACCGTTACCATGGTTACTATAATACTGCAGGATAATGATATGAAACATTTCGGGGATGGAATATCGTTAACTTGTAACCTTAATATGTATTTAGATATAGCGTGTTATTCAACAGTATATTATGTACCGTACAGTCATCTTTTCGTATGCATACACTTACATCATTGGCTGTTTGGAGTGTGAAGTGTGAAGTGTGGGCAAGACGAAGATCACGGTGTCGTCAGCGACCACCAATATGTCCATGTTGTGGTATAGTGTGTTTGCGGTAGTGCGTGCGCAACATTGCGCTTGGCCTACTGACCTGTTTGCTCAGGACCTGCCGAGCGCCGACTTCGGTAGTTCAGTCTGATTCTAGTCGCCGAACGTGACACGCGAATTGCGCTTATTATGTTGTGTCGTACTTCTAACCTCCCAGTGAACTAATATTATTATATTTATTTTTCATATTCATTACACATTATTAATTTTATTATTGTTATTTGTTTTAATTAAATTTTTATTATTGTTCTCGTAAACGATTCGTATTAGAATTTTGATCATTAATAAATTCGCAGTTTGATGTAACGATGAGGAGTGAAAAATAATGTCCTCTATAAAACTGCACAGCAGCCTGTCTTCGAGTCCATATAATTTCGAAAATGATTCCGACGAGCCGTTCGAACCGTCTTCTCCCGATTCACCATGCAGCGTGTACTTAGACACGAACAATTCTCGGTACGTTATATTATTCAAATATCTTCCGGTACGTAACTTATACCACCTTATACGCAATTTTTTTTTATAATCTCAATTATAAATAAATATTCGACGGATATATTATTTAACTGTGTGATATGATTTAAATTAATATAATACGCTTAATCTCAAAAGCGGTGTTTAATAACATTCATTTTTTTTATTTTAAAAGTATGAAATTGATGAATTTGTGTATATAAATACCTATACGGTTTAATCAGCTTATAATTTTGTTACCATATGTTTTATGTATTATTCGCAAAATATTATTTATTATATTAATGTATAGCAATGTTAAAAAAAATTAAAAACAAATTTTTGTAGGTAACTACAGTGTTTTGTTAGTGTAAAAATTTGACATTAGTACAATAAAATTTATAATATAGTTCTAATATGTAGTATACTATAATGTATACAAGTATTTGTGACTGCAGAATAAAAAAAAATAAAAAAAATTTTCGCATATTATACTCAGTGTTTCAGTATAGGTATGAAGTATGTGCTTATTTTATGTTTAGGTAAAGACATTTTAAATTCAGAATTAATATTAGTTAAACTCGTTCAACTAAAGGTTTTAGTAATTTATTGTGAAATGTAGGTATGTCTGACGTCTGTGTTTTGTTTACGTTTGTCAGATAAATTATAGCAATTATTACGCAGGTACATTTTAAAAAGTAATCTTAAACTTTCGATTCATTAACTAATACAACCAATACAGCCACAATGGTTTATAATAATTTTCTTAAACATAGTCAAATACATTGTATTTTACTTAGCTGTAACGTATTAATACAATACAATATTGCATTTTAATGTTGCATCGAGTCCATAAAAGCTATCTATACGATTGTTTTAATTTTTTTGTCAACATGGTTTTATTATATTTATACAAATACATTCGACTTATTTTAATATTTTGTAATTTTTTTCACCCATAAGTGGTTTCTTTAATTTACATTTCAGTGAAATAATAATGGAAATCTAAATTTTTTAAACTTGTGTTTTGTTAAATATGATGTCTATATATTATATTACAATTATTTGACAAATACAGCAAATAATGATACATATTTAAAATAATATACTTACTAGCTTGAAGAACACAAAAAAACCCAAATTAAAGCACAATTGTGTTTAGTATGAATGACTTATTTATATATTTTGTATACTTTCATAAATTTGTTTGGATTCAGCGATATTGAAAATGATGAGAGTAAAATATGTGATGAGTGGTTTGTTATTGACTATTATATTATGTGTGAATTGAACAGAAATGTGAGATTTATTTTACACTGACGTCTTCTTTTTTCCATTTCAGTAATTTAACGTAAAATAATGTATATCTTACATATTTTAGGTACACATTTTTTTATTCTGGGAATTTGGTGAGCAAAATTAAAATATAGGTATGCATATTTTATATTTACACATAATTATATTTAATATTATTTATTTAATTGATAACACTGTTCAAATGTGGTTAATGATTAATCTTGTGTACTTATTATTATTTTTTTTATATTCGTTTATACAAAATGAAACAGAATAAACAATAAAAAAATGTTTTTACAGTTCACTGTTGCTAGTTTAGACTACTTAAAAACACGTACAGAGGTTTAGAGACTCGTAGAATTTTTTCAACCGAGGGTAATTTATTTTGTCTTGTAAACAATACGTGTGTTCTTTAAACTTGTAAATTATGATTTGAATTTTACACTTTTACATTTTTTAAATGTACGTGGTCAAAGTATAATAATAAAATAGGGAGATACTATAATGCCAACAGTATTGTATTCTGTTTATTTAAACAAAATATATTGGTTCACCCACAGGTCATTTAGTCATAACTGCGAACATTATTATTTATGATCATCAATTGTATGTTACTAAATAACATTATTGCTTATTTTTTGTTGTATTGTAGTGTAATTGAATGTGTTATATATTATGTTGTTGATTTCTACCAATATTAAATCATTATATTATTGTTTTTATTTTTAAACCAACAATACATAGTATCTATAATGTATGATGAACGATGGTATATTATTATAATTCTGGTTGGTAATATGTATAATATTATGCGTGAGTTCTATTGTCTATGGTATAATATTCAGAAAAAATCGTTACTATAATTTAAATTTAATCAAATTCCCTCTACTTGGTATTAATATACAGGTATTTGAAATTTGTTTTTTGTAGAGTAGACACATATATAATATGTCATAGATGTCTATGTACATAGATATTTATTTGTATACGATTAATTATGTAAGCAATACGCGCGTAGGTTTGTTACGCTTAAATATTAAATTACATTTTTCTTTCAAATAATAAGATAACGTCCCTGCAACTGTTTCAAAACCATTTTAATATCCAATAATCATTGTTCCATCGCTGGAAAATAAAAAATAACTTAATCCATACTACCCAAACGATAAAATATTTAGGTTTGATGTTCGATAGATACTTAACTTGAGCTCAACATCTAAAATATGAGAAAATTGGTCAACTCTAGACTCCACCTGCTCCGCCCACTTATCCGGCCCAAGATTTCCGTCAGAAATAAACTATTAATTTATAAAGCTATAAGGATGATTGAGGCATCCAGGTCTGTTGCTTTGCACGCCTAACTTAAGAAATATTCAGACCTTCCATACCTTTTTTTTTGTCATATTACCACTGCTCATTGGCTTATTTTAAAAATAATAATCTCAACAAAGGCTTGGAATTCCAATGCTTACTTAATCAACCAAATCACTCTACCTTTCATTTCATTCAAAGTTAACCCACGCTCAACTCCCGATAACCCTCAAAAACATGTCAAACGGATCTGGCCTAGACATTTATTAATTTAATCTGTCGGGTAGCACTACGAGTTCGTTCCCAATTCAGTTATTCCCGTCACAACATGTAATCAAAATTGCTTTTGTACCTACTTGTTGTGTATAGATTGTAATTTTATATTTTTAATAAAAATAAATATAATATGAAATTGAAATTGAAATTGAATTTCGTATTGAAATCTAACAAGTGCTTTAAATTTAGATATGTTATTTGATTACATTATACTGGTTACCGTTTTGAATACATTAATCAGTCTTCGTTAACTATTTCCAGTCTCAAAAATGCGAATTCGTAGCATTTTGAATTTATATACTTGTATAATACAGTTATTGAAATGTTTAATTATACCTACCTCTATTATAACAATTTATGTAGATATACTGGAACATTTTCTTTTCATTTCGGTAGAAAAACATAATTTTACCAAGAATTTCATAAAATAAGAGTTTTTTCCAATTCCATGACATATATTTTCTTGTTAGGTACTCAATTAAAATTAAAATATACACAATGATTTTACTTTTATGTATGGAACTCACGAAAGACCTGGGATTTTACATTTTTAATAATTTCCAAGAATTTAAAATAATTGCTAAATTAAAACAGTTTTACGGTTGTTATTGCATCATATTTCGTTAGTAAATATTTTTGTAAGCTTTATTACTTCGTTTTTAATATTTACCAAAGTAAATTTAAACAACCAATTGGTATTTTTCTCATAAAAGTTCCTCATCCAGGGCATCCTAACTGGTAGTACAGAATTTATATTTTTATTGAAATACGCAATTATAAAATATTATATTTTCAAAATATAACTTCATATTTTTTATTTAAAGTACTCGTTGGTCCAAATTGATTTGGGAAAATGTTAAATACAATATCTATATAAAAAAAAAGTTAAGTATAATCAAATAATTTAGGTAGGAGGTGGCTATTAGGTTATGAAGTAATTTAGAAACAAAATGCAGATGTTAGTAAATTAAAAACTAGAACATTTTGGTTAATTTTACCGTACCTATGCCGTCGTGCTTCGCAATATTGGCCCTCATATGCGGGTGTGCGAAACGTAGTAAAAATTCGACAAATGATAATAGCACGACATTTAAAATAAAAATTACGAAACACAAATAAAAAACGTGAGATTTCGACTTTCAACGGTAAGCAAAAAAAAACCATAGTAGGTACAAAAAAGAAAACTTCATCTGGAGTGTATATGGTATTATTATCGAACGTCAGCGATATTTATTATTAGGTATAGCGTGTTTCGTTCGAAATGCCGACATGGCCAAAAACGATTTGATAATTATTAATTAGTAAGCACGGGACGGCATAGGCGCGTTGCGAACATACTTATAAATTACACAACGCGAACAGCACGCGGTTGGGACAAGGGAGAAAAAGAGAGAGAGTAGGCGAGAGACGGTTGTAGTGTAAATTGCTCGTCGACGTGATATATTTTATTTATCGTTTTCGCCGTCGACCGGCGCAGCGTTATTATAACCGAAAAACAAAAAACGCGCGTTATCAACATTGACACTGACTGTGGACGGTACTGGGCCTATAATGACTGTGGCCGCCTAGGATGGATGGTGAGCGGGGTACGGTGCGTAGCGGAGGTCGCGTACGAATATATGTATAATAGAGCGTTGTGCACCTTTGGCGCTGGCGGCACCGGTCGGCCGATGTTCGCGCTCCCGCTACGTCGCTCAGTGGTGATGGTGATGTACCTACACGTACGTCATGTAACGTATTCACAACGTATAACCATGTGGTGTGGCGGTGGTCGACATCGCTCGTCGTTTACACTAACAATGATTATTAATTACATGACCGAAGCGGTGGAGGTGCACGCGCGCGCCTTGGATTTCGGGCAAAACCGAAACGTGTCGCCGCGTATAATGTAGTTCAAGAGTAAAAGACACTCACACTCAATCGCAAATCATGTGATATCACATCGGACGCGCGCGCGCGCAGGCTTGTTCAGCGGCGCCGGATTCCGCGACTTAGAGGTTATAATAATTTTATCGGTCTCCGGCGGGCGGGGCGGAGTAGTACCATATACGTTCATACCGAAACATGAAGGGCGCAGTGAGCCGGTGCCGTGGGGGTGGGGGAGACGCTCTGTGCGATAG